GGTTATAGATCAATAGTTGGATAGTAGAATGGTTTTCTTTCCCTGCCAGCATCGTCTGTGACACCTTAGCCTCTCCTCCTGTAGTGTGTCATTTTAATTAGGATAGCAGCACTAGAAGTCCCTGTCTCAGAAGCCTCAGTTATGGACATTCAATTGTATCGCTTCAGTAGCCAAGATCTGTCTTTGGTTCTGGCTTACTAAACTCTGTTTTGGAGTTCCACTACAAAGAGTCTTGTGGTCATTAAACTTGTATTGACAGCACCTCAGTGCCTCTCATAACTAGGGCTGTGTATCATTTGAAATTGTTTGTCATCAGTGCCAATGCAAAACTTTTGGCTGGCATAAGGGTAAAGTTACCATCTGCTGACGTGTTAAGGACATGTAGTTTGATTTGTGGTAGTTCCATTGAACACGATATGCTATGATCACAAATGTCCATGTTACTGCAATAGCACTGCATTCCTACTGGTCAGCACATTGGGGATAACATGAAGTGAATCTCCCTCGCATTATTCTGTGGGTCATCTTCCCCAGCCAACAGTAGAGTTAGCAGTGACGACTGCTGTGCATAGGCAATTCAGAATTCCAAACTTAGCGAAAACATGAAAAAAAAAGGGATAACTGATTAAAAAAATTTACCCCTTTCCCCATGTTTTTTTTTATTGAAAGACAATGCATAGACTCATACAAAAACATTATCCCTCTCAATCATCACTTATGACCTGCTAGTGTCTGTATCTGCAGTGTCTCTGCTGGGTGTAACTCAGCCCCACCCAGCAGACAGGCACTAGATGCAGCAATGTGCGCCTTCTGCAGGATTGTCTAGAGGTGCTTTAGAATGTAATCACTGTGAAACAATCCAAAAATAACATTTATTTCTTTGATTCACTACTTTGTTCTCGTAAACAGTGTGCCTTAACTCTCATTCACTGTCTACCTTGTTCTTCGCTGCGGAGGATTGGCCAACTTTGAATGGTGTGTTTACAAACAGCAACAGAAAAATCCTGCATAGTATGCCTTTAACACAAATAGATGTTAAGAATTTTGCCTACATGAAATACGGAATCACATTAATAATGTATTTTTATTCAACATGTTCGATCAATGGGGGCAACTTTCAATACTTGACAGCTTTTGAAACTATCAACACAATTTGGTCAATATTCCAAAACTATTGAGCCCTACCTATATGTTATTCTGTGTTTTCATATTTTGTTGTATCTTATCATATTGTACCGCTTCTCTTTTGTATGGCTTCTTATATTATGTTGCATGTTCTCTTTTTGCACAAGCTTGTTTTATTTAATTTAATCACATTGTACACATGTGTTAATGCATTGCTTAGCAACTTAATTAAATGCAAAAAAAAAAAACAGTGAGCATTCTGTTTTTGTTTTTCCAAGTGCAGAGCCCTAAAACTTGGTACCTGTATTCTCTGAGGATTGATGTTGGTGATTTTGTCCAATATTGTCCAATATTCAATTTGTTAGCGCCCACAACACATGGACACCAGAAATTTGTGTACCCACTCCAGTGACCCTCCCCCCAATCCGAGTACCTAACACACAAGTAATATCTGTCTGATGAAGTAACAGTATTATGGGCAATACAGCAGGCTTTTAAGGTGTAACTGTTTGAGGAAACTATTCTGCTCCTATCTTGTCTATGAAATTCTGTGAATCCTTTGGCCAATCTATGGAGAAATACCATGTTTACAATGTGGAGTGGGTATCAGAGGGTATTACTATATGGATTAGAGGGCCGAGATAATGGATTTACAGGATTCATGGGAAGAGACATAGGTATCATGATAGGTTCCAGTTCTCCAATTCCTGTGTAATTTATCTGTTTCATCCCATCTTTCTGTTAGTTTTTGCCTTCCATTCTTTTCCACCTATCTCATCCTTTTGTTTGTCTTGTGCTTTTTTTGTTCCTCTTATCTATTAATCCACCTCCCCTGCATACATCTCTTCACTCCTTTACTTCTTGCCTATTCTTTAATCTAATCAGCTACCTACCTTATCTCTCCTGGCAGTCATCTTTGTTTGGAGAAACCATGATTGTGTTTCTGCTGATTCAAAGTGTGGTAGTCAGCAGTTGAGTTTATGGTGATGTTTTGTCTGTGGTGTTTTTCTCTTTCTGTCCTCCTGGTTATTCATTCCAGAACCAATCTCATCCTTTAACTCCTATTTCAGTTCCAAGTAAATGTTTACTATTACAAACCTTAAAACCTGGGAAGGTAGAAGTACAACTGGCAATGCTTTTTGACTTGATAAGTTAATGCTTAGGTTTCTGTAATGACCCAAGCCTGTATTTTGTAGTTTTTGAATTAAGGCCTATTTTTTAAATCTATGTTACATAAATAGTCACACATTATTACCCCAAGGTGAAATTGCTATCAAATACAGGTTCCTCCCAACTGCTTATCCACTCCCAAGGCTTGATCCTGTCTTAATCCTGGCTACTTCATGTACTTTACTTCAATCCATTTGAAAGGTTAGGGTTAGTTAAGCCTCTAATACACTGCTGATAGTGTAGGTGAGTGGTTTTAAAAACTGGGGTCCTTGAGTGGGTTGTAGGGGGTCCCTAGTAAAAGGAAAAATATAATATTTTCACTTGTATCACTTTTTTTTTTTTAAGTTAGCACAGCACAGAATGAAATGGGGTTGCCTGTTTTCATTGCTTGATTTATTGAAGACTTAAAAAAAACCTAAAGATGGGATTCCTTAAGACAAATCCTCTGAAATTGGTCTGTGGACTATTGGGCATCTTATGTGGTGGCCTTGACATAAAAAAAATTGGGAACCCTTGGTAAAGGTTACCATGATGAGTGTGATGTTGCTGCCACTTTTGTGGTGTGGGAATCGCATGGGAGCAGTGATTGGCCATTAATAGCCTTTTAGGCTATAGAGTCTAATATGGTATGTCTTGGCATAGGTTGAGCACTGTAACATATGCAACAATGTGCTCAATAGTTGCTCATGATGATGGATGCAGAACTGAGTTGTGAGGGCTGTTTGGGCTCACATTTGCACAGTGGGATGCAAAAGTAGAATTATTAGCCAGGTTACTCTTTAAGATGTCCCCATATGCTAAATGGGGACATGCTTTCCCTAAAATTAAAATTGTGGTTATGCTTTACCACTGCTGATTCTCTGCTCACAATATGTTTCATGCTTGGATAATACATTCAGTTACAATACTGTGATATTGATGGACTTGGAATATATTTTCCTTTGTGCCTAGAGCCATTATTTTTTCCATTATATCACTCCTGTCGGTATCAGTGGCAGATAAATATTGCATGTGGTATAATCAAGCACCAAGATGCAAATTTTGTGTGTATTGGGATGTTGTCTGTTCTCAGATTGATTACATCATGAAAAAAATCAGTCACAAACAGCTGTTATCCAAGTAGACTTATCTTTTAATCAAAATATGTACATTGTGTATTTCTGCACCACACATTCTGTTCTACCTGTAGGGTTAGGACAGCTCTTGAGCTCTCCTAAATCTTGGTTTAAGAACATGGTAAAATGTTTGTACTCCTGTGCTTTAAAGTAGAACCAGTTGGGTACGACTTTTGATAGGCCATTTTTGACTGCTCTGAGACAGTGAATAAATACAATAATGTCTCCTTTACTTTTTATCTCATCAGTTGTTTCAAGATGAAGATTGATACCAGCCTGACTATGCCCCAGCTTCCAGAGGCCCTGTCCCAGGCAGGCCTTCAGTTTTCTGTGGCCACTGAGGAGGACTTTGATGAGATCATGGCTATGAGCCAGGACATCTATGGAGGCCTTGACTACCTGCCCACTAGATACACCAGCTGGCTGCAGGAGACTAACCGCACAGTCATATTGGCCCGCAAACAGGGAAAAGTGGTAAGTTCAGTGAACAGTGCAAAAATATTTTACAATTATGTTAGTTAAGTAAAGTTAAGAAAATACAGAAGTCTATTAAGTCTACGAGGAAGTCGGGTATCAATTCAATTAAATTCAATTCAATTCAATTTTACTTGTATAGCGTCTCAGGACACTTTTCAAATAGAGCAGGTCTAGACCGAACTCTTTAAAACATTATTTACAGAGACCCAACAGTACCACCATGAGCAAGCACTTGGTGACAAGGGCAAGGAAAACCTAGGACCAGTTGGGGAGAGAGAGAGAGAGAGAGAGAGAGAGAGAGAGAGAGAGAGAGAGAGAGAGAGAGAGAGAGAGAGGTGCACAGCAACAACAGTATTGGTAATGGCAATCTGGCAGGACCATGGCAGGAGGCTCCACCAGGATCGATAAGAACCTGCGAAACGAGAAAGCACAAGAACTCCGGGGAAGAAGTGAAGTTAGTAACATGCATTAATGGGACCTGAATGAGTGCATTGTGCTTCTTATTTGTTTTTTGCAATCCTGCAGAAGGTGCGTATTGCAGAAGTTTGTCCATACAAATTTGAACATGCTTGTAAAGAGTATGCACTTTTTAACATATTCAGTATTAGTACTTAGACTTTTATGGCAAACAGACCTTTCTAGGAGGTATTCTTTGCTCACGGTTCACCCCAGGGCGGATAAAGCTCAAATTATACTTAGTTTTAATCATCAGTATGACATAAGTTTTGTCTCTGTGTGGGTCTTAGTAAACATGTACTGTATGCACCATCTGCAGATGAGGGCACATCTGTGAATGTAGACCAGTGTTGAAAAATGAATTGCATTGAATTACTTAGAAGCAAAAATAATGAAGTGTTACTTGTTACTTTATTTTAATTACTCAGCCCAACCTCAGCTTCAGAAGTCCTCAGAAGTGAGCTTACACACCCTCCAACTCTAAACAAAACTAATGTAAGTGTACCTGTGGCTAGCATTACCATGCTAGCTAAGAACACATAACATTTAAATAAGACAACTGGGAGTTGTGTCCCACTTTATTTAGTAGAGGCAAGGTATGTCCTCCCAACTCAAACTCTTGTGCCATGCTAACATGTCACTAACATATCACTCTTCAGTTGTCACTATCAATTAAAGGCAAAGTCCTTCTCTAAAACAGCGAACTAGGAATTTTAATAAATAGGAATAGAAATACTGCTTCGCACCCGCTTCAGGAATGGTGTGCAGTTCTAAAATCAACTATGTCGATGTGATCATTTGTAATTGTTTTGGTCTTCCTTCTCCCTCTGTGATGCTCGGCAGATTGCTCTGGAGTCGGTGTGTGTGATTGACGATGGGGAGACCATGCTCGTGGAAGGTCTTCGTGTCGCCCCTCAGGAAAGGGGCAAGGGTGTGGCAGGAGTTTTGCTGCGCTTTTGCTCTGAGCTGGTCAAATCCAAGCATCCAGAGGTCAAAGTAACCCGCTTGACCCGTGATGATCAGCTTGGACCCAAGGATTTCCAGAAGTATCGCATAATAACCAAGCAGGTACCAGCAGGAAAAGCAGACAAAATGTTCTTTCTTTGTTTTGCTTAATGGCTGTTGTTATTGGTTCATGCATTGCCATTCTTTTCTACAGGGTATTCTGCTGGTGCGCTTCAGAGCTGAAGACCTCAAGCTCCGTCTGTCTGAACTTGGTCTGGGTGGAGACATCCAATCCTCTTTGTCTACCTCCTCCTCCATCCCTCCTCCAGTGCGTCTTGACCATACAGCCATCCACCGGCTGTATCTGACCACTGACCTGATGCAAGGAGTCCTTCCTAATGCCACCATCATTCAAGACTGGCAGCCATTCAAGCCTTTGCCCAGCAACATGGCCATCCTATTGAAGAAGGACATTGACTGGATGGTGGATGATGTGTTCAACCCGACTGTGGCCAGCCTCTGTACCTTCCCTTTCAGGGTGCCCATTGGAGACGACTGGTAACTTTTTTACTTTTTTACTTACTTTATTTAATTCTAAGCAAATATTGCAAGTGAAGTCAGGGACAACTATTGTCCATAAGGAACTGTACAACAATGTAGTGGTGTGCACTGTTGTGTACCATAGCATCATTTGATTGTACCCCTGGGGGGCCCCCAAGTTTTGAATTTATTAGATACTACACATCATTATGTGTAGTATCTAATAAATGTAACTTATTTATTTAAGATGCACTAATACTTATCGTATCATTTTCCTTCAACTGGTACAATATTTGTCTGTAGGTATTATCTGAACATTGACATGTTCGGTAAAGACCTGGACCTGGCTCGGCAGCAGTTCTTGTGCCACCTGCAGCGCCACACTGCCACCCTGAATGGTCACGTGATGTGCCAGATGTTCCTGGACCCACCACTCTGGAAGCCCATGGCAGAATTCTGCCACAACAACTTGAGCCTGGAGCTAGTGAAGGAGTACACCGAGCAATGCGTGGTGGAGTCAGATGTCATCTAGTTACAGAAGGTGGATGGAAAGGGTTAGAAGATGAAGGAGCCAGAATGGATAGAAGACAAGGGTCTAAACAACAAGGAATGGACACAACTCATTTACACTTAGCAGAAAAACACAACCCTCTGTATTGAGGAGATAGAAATCAAGCAAACAAAATGTCGTTTCTACAAAACAAAACAACTTAGATAACATACGAATGCAGTAAGTTAGATTTAACAATACACAAACAAATATAGGGCGTGGATATAAAATCATGAACACATCATGTAATCAGCTGCAATAGTTGATAAATAGTACATTTCTAAAGTTTCTAATATTCAATTGGTGTCAACTTTACTGTCATTTTAAGTACCATTTCTAATGCTGTCATTTTAAGACGTAATATTAATATTAATTGCCCCCAGTATACATAAATCCAGAAGTTTTGGACCTCATCCATAGCGGACAAAACATAACCAAACCCAAATGTTCACAAATTAAATTTAAAAAGAGACCCAATCCAAAAGGGGTTCAATTGCCAGTCAGCACATTCAAGATGGTTCACAACTGATCAATGGTGCAAATTTGTGGGTCAGAATTTGACCTTTGTCTGAAAGCCACAGCAAGTGAATCCAGAGTCCTGCAAATTTTAGCCAGAAAATAAAAAATAAACACTACAAACTATATCCTCAAAAGTGACCATAGAGTTGAATTATCACCTTATTAGCTTGGCTTGAATTTAGGTTTTATCACAATGATTACAAGTGTTTGTGATTTATGTCCACCTTCTGTATTTTGTATGACATGGAAGGGTGTAATAGGAGTGATGAACTTGGGGGGAGCTTTCTCACACCGGTAGCAGTGATGTAACCTAAAACCTAAAACAACATGCAAATGCTATTCTTTGAAGAAAAGATTTAAATACCCTTAGGACATCTCAAACCTTTCATCTCTGTTCTTTCTGTAAATATGAACCTTCTAAATATGTACACAAGCTGAGTTGGGTTACTAAATCTGCACAACTCTGAAGGCACTTTATTAAAACTACACAGACAGGTTGTGTCTACGTTAGAATGAAAAGGAATAGTTCAGGATCAAATAGGGGTAATTTACAGATCCCATCACTCTAATGTTGATGGGTGCTTCTATTAACTAGTACTACCTTAGGAACATCAACAACAAATCTCTACAGAAACAACAAACAAAGCCTGCTAGTGAAATGAACATGCTCAGTCACAAAATGGCTGACAATTTATCCTTCGTTATGGTCAAGCTTATGTCTTAGCTTTTGTCTTTTTTGTTTCAAATCTTTGACTGTATATATATGTTACTAATTTAATATTTTCACTTAAATGCTGCAATAAAATTTTAACAGAAATGATTAACTTCTGAAGCTGTAAGTGAAACCTATGCTTACTTTTGTAGATCGCTAGCATAATGCCAAACAAAATGCTAATGCTTGAAAATGTTAAAATGACTACTGTGCAGTTTACTACTGGCTTCAGCTAACGCAGGGAGAAGGAGTAGAATGAAAGTAACTTTGTTAGAATTAACAGAGGTACACGTTTTAACCATCACTAATATTAGCGGACAAAAACCTTTTAAATCGTGTTCCCTGTCACAAAACAAGACCAGTGTTCAGATAAGGTTCAGTCATTAATGCACTAATCTCTAGTGTTTTGTCTAGACATGTATACAATATTGTGGGTTATACCATGGCCAAGGACAGTACCTACTGGATTCTGCATGACTGACACTTGTCCATTAAAATCAGGACACCTCAAACATGTTCCTTCGGCTCAGTTTGTTTCCTATGTAGTCTATGAGTTACATGAATGGCAATGTCAGTTGGCACGAGCTCAGACTGAAATACCTTAACTATTGGATTTTCATGGAATTTAGTACAGACATGGTCACCACAGGATTAATCCTAAAGACTTTCATGTGCCACCTGTAGGCCTAGCTTAGGTTTTTACTTATCTAGTGGATTGGAATTACACTTCTGGATTGGCCCACAATTTAGTCTGTAAATTTGAACATATTCATCCTCAGGATTAATTGTAAAAATTTTGATGGTCAACATTTCAGTTTGTCTCACACTTTGTTATATGACCAAATACCTGCAAAACTATTGACATTCCTATCAGCCTTAGCTGTAATTTCTGCTTACTGCTAATTAGCAAATGTTAGCATGCTAACATACTAAACAAAGATGGCAAACATTATCCTTTTTTTGTGAGTATGTTAACATGCTGACATTAACATTCAGTTCAAAGCATTGCTGTGCCTAGCCTTACAAAGCAGCTAGCATTGCCGCAGATGTGTTCCTTCGGTAAGTGGCCATGGTATAAGCACAATACCAGACACTGATGTGTAGCCATATACAAAATAATGAACTTGGTGGAGGAAATGACACTCTACTTCACATTCACTGGCCTCCACCTACCTCTCCACTCTTTTCTAGGACACCTACATTATCACCTACATATGTGATTTCTGCTAGAGGCAGGCCCAAAATGTAACATTTCTCTCATGATTAACTGCCCCTTTCGCATCCATAGCACAGCCCACACACTCCCTAAATCTCCCTTTAAATGCCCATATAGAGGGTGTGATGCAGGACAATTTGTCTGAGCCAGACAGGAATATCTTTTTGGAAAAAACACATAAATAGAACTATTTTACCTTCCCGTTGCCTTGACCAGCTTTTATTTTGACTTTGACCACATTCTTCTTCTTGTATGCAATTTTATAGGTGTGAGGATGACTGGGCCTATTTGCTGAAGAAGTATAAATGATGAGTCAAATCTTTAAAAAGTTTTACAAAAAGGAAATAAATGATTAAACAGACCAGACAGTTTTTAAAATTATTAATATTTTTGGAAAGACCTATTAGAGTTGCCATAATCCTCAACATATTGCAGGGAGTATAACAAAATAAGAAGACAACTATCTTTTTACCCTATTGTTTGTAACCAAAGAAAGTCACCACTCATCTAAACTGACGCCCAATTATTTGCTGCCACGAGTGAAGATATGGAAGGTTGGAAGGCCATGGGAGTATTTATTTTTACGTTTCCTCATGATCACAGAATATTTTTTGTGATCTATTTATAAAGATCTTTTTATAAAATCGTTTTATCTTGGCACAGAATCTTTATTTTGTGATAACATAACCCAAACTGTGTTCTCATGATTCTGACATGATAATCATGTATAATCAGCTAACATAAGGTGGGACACCATTTAATTTAATTTAAAATGAGCATGAGCTTACTGCGCATTGTATAATAGTATTCTTATACTGGTGTGTGGTAATTTGATTGAAGTTTAATCTTGGGCTTCACAATATCAGCTGAAATAATGATGGTCTGAAACAACCACTTCCAGACAGGGCTTCAAGATTAGGTAGTAAACCAGGACCCACTTTATAATGTCAGCTGATAGTGTGCTGATAATGTAGCTCATATTCTGGTATTCCCATTGTAATTACTCAAATGATCACAAATGTATAGCCATGAATCTGAGGCTTTTAGGGATCCATTGGGGTCCGGGGCCCTGGGGCAGTTTACCTTAAGTCAACTATAGCTCCAGTAAAAGTCTGTGTAATAGCCCTATAATATTTGAAAAAGTTTCATAGTGTGCCTTTGGAAGTGAATAAGTGGACTAGTTTCATTAAACATTTGCTACTGTAATAATAATAATAGTATTACTATTGAAAAAGATTTGACAGTGGCAGGAAACAGTTGCTTTACAGTATAGTCCCCTTGTGTTGGCTGATCATAGCTCTGCATCATACCATCCGTATCATACCATCCGCAATGGTAGCAGGCTAAGCAGGGTAGACCATGCGCACTTCTTGTTAGCCACATCCTCCAGGTAGTCCTTGGGGGGATCCCAAGATATGCCCCAGTTTGTTGGGATATGTATTCACGTCAGCATGTTCTGTGTCTACCCTCCCAGTTGGACCAGCTCGGAAACCCTCTGAAGGGAGGTGTCCAGAAGGCATCCTGATCAGATGCCCAAACCATCTCAACTGGTTCCTTATGATGGGAAGGAGCAGTGGTTCCAGTCTTTGACACTTGTAGGTTCCACAATCTCATTATTTTCGTCATTACCAATCATTTAGGGTTGGAAAGTAGATCAACTGGTAAATTCAGAGCTTTGACTCGACCATGACAGTCTGGCACATGTCCATTTTACAGTTGGTGCCGCACTCATTTGTCTGTCGATCTCACGTTCCATCTTATCCTCACTTGTGGCAGTTACTTTCTTTCAAACCAAAGTGAACAGGGACCATCATGGTAGTAGAGGAAGGCTGGAACGTAATCGACCGGTAAATCCAGTAAATCAGGCTCAGGTCCCTCTTCGCCAAGACAGCTTGGTAAAGCATGCACCTGACTGCTGGCACAGCACCAGTCTACTTGTCGATCCCGCGTTCAATCTTATCCTCGTAAACAAGACCCCAAGATACTTGAACTCAGGTTTCTTGTTGGCAGCTAATCACTCCAAACTCAGAGTTGGCAATCCACCATTTTCTAGTAGAGTGCCATGACTTCAGATCTGGAGGTGCTTAATTATAGCTGAATTACCACACATGAACTTTGCCCATTTTTGTGTAATGATCATGAGAAGTCAGTTTTGATGATTTTGTGATCACATAAAAAAAGCTTGTTCGTTTTGAGAACATGGTTTTCTTGTGCTTTCAAGAAAACAACTACCAACAATCATTGAAACCCATGTGCGTCACTGCCTTCTGTATGACGTTGATGTCTTGGAAGATAAAGATTTTAAAAGCCTTTATCCAGTGATGAAGAAATGTACATATGCAGCCCCTTTCCACCACCCCCTGCCCCCACGCACAGCTGAATAATCTTTGTGACATACTACGTACAATTAGCTGGATATTTTCCTCACAATCAAATACACCCTCTGTTACGTTTAACATGACCGTAACCTTAGTTTTAACAAAGCAAGTAGGGATATCTTCATTAACTTATTTTTTGTTGTCGTGTCATAATAATATGTAATTCATGTAAATACTGTACGTCGCACTGTAAAGTCACTGGAGCTTGTGGGATGCCAGACTTAATGTTAACACTTGAATGGCCAAAAACTTATGATAGCCTCATTCTTAGGAAACAAATAGTGGACAGTCGTGGATTTATCTCTTAAAACCTGTCAACCCATCATTGATCACCTCACTTTAAAAAAATAATAGAACTTTCTATTTTCAATGTTCACTCAATGTGCCCTGCTGCCACTTCACTTCACTTTTAGCCCTATGCTATGCTTCCTTGAGCTCTTCCCTTTCTTTGGGACTTTTAGGGATCATTTATTCATGGATTTCTTTCCCATCTACAAATCAACAATCCATTGTAAAACTTGTTAGTGCTTCATCTATCTGAAGGCCTCGGTATGCTTCAAATTAAGAAAGTTGTGCTGTGTTTATACATGTTACGAATGGCCACACATCCTCTTGGAATCAATCCACTGCCTCTTAGATCTCTTTTCAAGAGTTCTGTGTCTTTTGCATGTCTTTGTAGTCTGGTTGTGATGAAGCACACAAATGGGGATATCGTTTCACATCAGTCACAATCACATTATCAGAAGGGTGTTCTAGAAAAGTACTTTGTTTAAAGCATACTGAGGCCTTACGGTTCAGTTTTGACCCGTAATACTGGAGTTTTTTTTGTATCAACAAACTTCTTTTTACCCATGGAGTTGCTTGGGTCATGGTGACATTAATACATTGACCTGTTCAGTTTCAGTTTATTTAAGCTACTATTTTAAGTTCCATCAAAAACACACTTTTTGCTTTAACATGCCTCATTAACTGAGTTTTAACTTTCAAAACTTGTTTGGCCACCACATGCACACAAAAGACACAAAAAAGGGATGATTGCATTGTTTGAATATTGATGAAATGGTTTATTTGTGTGTAAAGATGAACAATTATTCCTCTGGTACCATCAGTCTAACAGTTTGGCCTCTAACTCTATTAACTTACATGTATTACCAGACTGTATTGGATTAAGAGAAGTTTTATGAGTAAAAAATTCTATAAACTTAATCCAGTCATCATCACTTGACATCTTTTGGATGTTTTCATTATGACGGATCAGGAACGTTTGGTCATTCCAAACTATTTGGCATTGGAATGCAAATGAATCTGGTTTCATTCTGTATTTCTTTGCCTTGATAATAATCAAAATTGTTCATTACATATCCAAGTCCTTAATGTACATGCTTTCAGCTGGTCAGAATTCCATCTAACACCAGTGCCAAAGGTGAAGAAAAAACTGAGTCACTGAGTTCTGCAGATTGAGATCAATCCAACAAATGTGGTTTGATGAATTTCAGTGATAATTTAAAATTTGATCAAAAATACTTCTACATACTGTATGAAAAAGAAGAGATCATTAGATCTAACGCTTGCTAGTTTCCTACAATATTGTTGTGATTATTTTTACTTAGCCTGAGGCACTTAACCCCCAGATTTTGACTGACCCTTCTTAATTCCTGCCCCTTTCGGAACCTCGGCCAACTTTCTCTTTTCCTTTATTTAAGATACCAAATTTTGAAGATGGTTCAAATATAGTGACATCAGTGACAAAGATTATATAGTCACATTTTAAGAAAGCTAAGATTAACTAATGAGCGAGCTAATCTACATCAATTCTTATCTAGCTAATACGTTTCCAGATAATTAGATAGCTGACGATAGATGTAGACTAGCTAACTTTTTAGCTTGCGTTTTTCTAACATTAACTAGTTAACCTGATGTGATTATATACATGTCTCTTTTATCTTTTAACCATCTTTCAAAATGTGGTTGTCTTTCCAACATAGACAAGCTTAGCACATAGCATATCTAAGCACAGGGAAGGTGAAAGTTGACCAGGGTTCTAATCAAGGCTTGCTCAACTGGAACATAGAGCAAAAAGGGGCGAGAGTCCTTGGATGTGCATTTTTCAGTACCACTTTCACATACAGGATGCTTATTTATAATGTCACTTATAGATTCAGTAAAAAAGCTGTTGCTTGACGGATAAACATAGGCCAAGAAAGATCATGGATTAAATCTTTTGAATACCATTTTTTACTTTAAAATCCTACATTGTAAAGGGTTTATACATTGTAACTTTGTTAATTAATAAATAATTTATTGATGCTTTATAGCTCAGTAAAAAGTACATTGTGAAAACCCATTTAGTGTACAGTATACCATCTTCTTGCATATATTTAGTATTTGCACTCTTTAGCACACTTACCATGTACTTTCTAGAAAGGGACTGAAGATTTTTAAACTCAGTTTATTAGCAGATTTTTAAGCTTTGATGGCTTCTTAGAAAGTGAGGACTGGGACACACTTCTCTGGGCTGTTAAAAAAGAAAATGTGCTTGGCCATGGTCTCTTTTCAGACTTACACTCTTAAGGATTTTAGGTACTGGGTTTTACATTTTTATGTCAAAGGTGGTGGAGCTCTGCTCCGCTTAGCTCTGCAGAGATGTTTAAATGTGTCTTTGCGGAGATAGAGGGTCATGAGTTTCCCTTTTCCTTCGGGGAAGACAAGTCAACAAGTCTTCCAAACAAAACAAACAAAAGCAAAATAAGTCATTTCTCCAGAGTAGTGTCTTCTGATATTGAGACCCCACTGGCAGGTTGACAGCATTTGTCATTACCCACTGAAACTGTTACAAATCACTGTAACAAAGATTATCCATCTGACGTTTCCTGATCTGCCATCTCTGTGGCTAGAGTTAGCTTTAGGTGCGGAAGCTACTTGGTTAGTGTGGAAATACAGTGGTTGGGGTTAAAAACAGGTACTATGTCAAGGTTAGCCTCCATCAAAAGAATTTTGATTCAGAGAAAGTTGGTAGGAAATGGGAAACCAATTCAAATCACTCAAAAAAGACCCTATGTTACCCCATCCTTTACCACAACTAACTCCTAATTCACATGCTCAATAGAGGTCCCCACCAGGTAAAAATATTTAGATTATTTGGATATACACCAGCCAAGAGGGCATTTCACAACCTAATAATCCAAAAGTCCTTTGTACAAATGGTTTATTACTGCTTTATAAATGTTGCTTTAACCATGAAGCAAACCATTAGTAATAACTTCTAAAGCCTGGCACCACTGTCTAATAAAGTATCATTTAGAATGGGTTTATCACACGACATATGGGCACGCATCACCAGCATGTACAAGTCAGGGATACTAACACAGAGGATGTATTTGATGATGAGCAAAACAAAAAAGAAGGCTTAGATTAAAAAAAAAAAAAGGTTAAACAACTTTAAAGATTGGTTAGAGAGCCCAGTAGTGCCCCCAGATCCTACTAATCAGGGAAAGTATGTCCAGCCATGAAGTCAGATGTGTTTCCAGGTTTCCAGAGTGCTGGATGCCTATGCTTACTTCAGACTTTGATATAAAATAATGCACAAATATACAAAATGTGCAGTAGATACTCTGGATTTTATGCATAGTATTTCTTCACCGGATGTGGAAGCATTGTGTGCTAAATGTGTGCCAAATTTCATGACTGCTAAACATCTTTGTGTGTCAATTAGCTTGCAAAAAATTATGAAAAAGCAGCAATTTTCTAGTTTTAATTGGAGCTTTAGTTGAAAACTTAGTCTATCTATGAATTAAATGTTTGTCTTTTTTCCTTAAACAGTAGTCCCATATAGCACACAAACAAAGGTGATATAATCAGTGGTTGAATGTGACACTGAATTGAATTATTGAAAGTTTTTTTTGGTTACTTATAGCACTTTGTTTGAAAAATGTGATGATTGTATACTTTGTATACAAGTGAATAAAATGCTAACACATTGTGCTGCAAACCCTGTAAGTATTACAGGTTTAAGTGTTATATTAATGTATGTTTTACGGATTACTGTACAAGCCATTGAGTTAGTGGGTAAAGCAGCATGCACTTTAGTTGTCTTTGGCAATAATAGATAAGCTCCCATCTCCTAGTAGCACCAACTTCAGTGAAAAACAAATGTTCTTGTCGCAAATCTTGAAACAATCATAGAGTGTCATGTAAGATAAGCCTTTCTCTGTCGGTTCAACAATGTTTCTTCAAAGCTGAACCATTTCACAGATGACATGTAGAACAGTTTGTACATCAGTATACAGTGGCATTGAAAATAAGACGATGTTTTGTTCTCAGAAAAGATTAACAACTTTACGTTTAACACAATAAGAGGTTGAGATGGCTGTGTTCTGAAGGAGTAATGCGGGTTTGGGTTAGTTAAGCCAAGAGATAAAAAGTAACTAAGTACATTTAGTATACTAGTTTTTAAGTATTTTATGTGAGTAATTCAACTTTGTGTGATCTTATACTTTTACATTTCATAGAAATATTGTCCTTTTTACTCCACTCCATTAACCTGACAGCTGTAGTAACTAGTTTCTTTAAAGACTAACGTTGTTACATGCAAAATATAAATAAGATGCACTGCTAGAGTTTAAAAGTAGCCAGTGTGATACTAGAAATGTGTAGGCTTCAAAGATAATTTTATTTTAATATGCACTCAGTGATGCAAATCTTTATCTCTGTACATTAAATCTTTCTCTGTGCTTGATTTGTAGTGATTGCTTTATCATGGCTTGATTGGTAATGCCTTGGACCTCCAGATGGGGGAACATGAACAAACCTTCCTCATTTGTTGTATTTCAAGTAAAGACAAGTGATGAGTCTGTGTTTTCTTTCACATTATTTTCCTCCTTTTACAGAAGTGTGCCAGGATTTTTGGAAATTCTATTTACTTCCTTTCCGAGAGTTAGCTGAGAATGGATATCAATTTCTGTGCCTTAAAGAAATAGTTCAAACCTTTAGAGAAATTGTATATGCTTTCTTTACGACAGTAAGAGGTTCAGATTGATATCAACTTCATTTCTGTGTGTTAATTACAGAACTGGAGTCGGGATATAGTTAGCGTGGCGTGGCATAAAGACTGGAAGCAGGGGGAAACAGCTAGCCTGGCTCTGTCTTAAAGTTCAAAATTAGTCCTACCAAGCCCACTGATTCACATGTTGTATCTAGTTTGTTTAAGTTGTACAGAAACAGAAACACAATTTTGTGGTTGTAGGGCTTATAATACATACTTGAACTAGCTTTAGAGAAGACCATGAACTTTTTTCTGAGCATTTAAAACCAATTTTAGACTAAGCAGAGAGTTTGTAATGACTGAAATGAAGTCTGTGTTGTGGAGGGACCATGAGTATAAATTACAGTGTCATCAGCTTAAAGGTGTATTTTTTGGCTTGAAAGTCCTAACCTAAGTCATTTATAAAAACAAAATAGGCCACAGAATGGAACCCTGGTGAACACATTTGGTTAACTCAAAAAAAAGGGATTTGTTGCCCTCTATAAGAGTTTAATCTGCAGAACAATATTTCTTGATGAAGAAAAGTTTCAGTCTAGCGTGGATTGCTAAATATCACAACAACAACGTCAGTGAGCCCAGGTTTTGCTCTGACCAGGTATGAAACCTGGAACCCTCACTGTGATGACAAGACTTTAGGAGGCTGGACACATCACACACCCGACTGTAGTCCAAAAAGATATAGTTCAAACACGTAACTCCCTTTAAAACCACAAATAGTCCCTTTTCATTTCTGTTTGTGAATTAATTAAACAAACGAGATACAATTTGTTCATCAGTAAGCTTTAGAGGTGTTAGTAGGTGTATTTTTCAGGATAGGTGTTTCCCCCTGCTTCCAGTCTAAGCTAGGCTAATAGCGTCCTGACACCTGCTCTGTACTTAAAACTGCAGTTGATAAACTTTATAAAAAATAACTTACTGGCACTTTGTGTTGGTGGCATGAAACTTTGGAACCATGGTGGATTCTTGCGAATGCCATTAGTAGCAATAGGAGGAGCCAGAGGAACCTGATTTTTCCACACATTATCTGTCTCATGTAGTACTAAGTATTTAGCAGTTACCTACTGTAGCTTTAATACACAGACATGAGACTGAGATAAATGTGAGCATCTCAGTCAGAGAAAGAAGGTTAATAGCTGTATTATCTGAAATGTTGAGCTATTCTTTTAAGTAAAGGGTCTGGAGTCAGGACACGTTTAGTCTACTTAACATAAGTAGGGGTGGGGCTCTGGCCAAAAGAGAAACATAGTTGTGTTTCCTTTGGTTTAACACCAGCAGAATCTGGAGAAATTAGATATTTATAGTATATCATATTAATACAACAGTATGCAATATAACGTGAAAACATCCATCAGTACTTGTACTTCTGATATTTTGCTACATTTGACCTTAAATACTTATATACTTTTACTTCCATAAACCTATGAATGCAGTATTATTATTCCATTGTGGTACTGATAGCTTTACTTTAATAAAGGATCTAAGTCCTCCTCCCACTACTGTTTACGTCATTCTGTGGCTACCTATTATAGTTTTATCATAGCTTATAGTGTGATATGAAAGTATTTTTGTGGCACAACACTTGGATTGATATACAGTGGAAATAGTACTACTATCAATAGAAGATCAACAAATTTGAAGTCATAGACAAAATTGTTTCTCGAATCCCATTCTACACAGCACAAATAATGAAATTACATACATTTATGTTGCTAAATACAGACTATCAAACCTTTTCTCACAAATATATGTTCCAATGTGTACTGTACATACAGTATATATAAACTGGTAAGACTAATGACAGGAGGAGAAATACTCAGACTGGGACAACAGGATGCTTTTGGAGAAATTAGTACAAGTATGAAGATACATTTGTGAATGCCACAAATGATCATTCATATTTGTAAATCTTTTTATCCATGTTAGTGGCTCACTGGATGGCGGTGTCAGTCCGGTCGGTCCACCACTTCAGACCAGATTGAAATATCTTAAGTTTTGATTGGATCCCCAGACATTCATGGTTCCTAGTTGTTCCTAATTTCTTTTTGCAACACTAATAGGCCTTTTCCTCCTACAGGGAACCTAGTTTTGAACCGTTCAGAGCATTTATACCAAAAATAACTTTGTTCAGAATCTGAAAAAGTTGGTTTTCCTTGGGAACCAAAGAATATCAGGTTTTCCGTGGGAACCAAAGTCGGTGTGTCATATTCTAGAGGTTGTTCTGTGCAGCGCCATCTGTTGATGATGTATCCAATTACACAACTTCCACTCCAAACTTGTGGAAACGTAGGCTGGTTTGCTAGATAGAACCAAGGTTCCAAGAATCTTGAACAAAAGTAGTTCAAGAACCAGAACTAATTTGCTGAAAAATGGGACTATGAGGTTGACATTTGTGGTTCTGAGTAAAATGTGTAGACAAGACAGATGTATGCCATGAAATTTGGTTTGGATTCATTCCCCTTAGGATGAATTGTAGTAATTTTAGTAGCCTTTTCATATAGCACCATCATCATGTCTTAATTTATGTTTAGCACTGTTGCCTCACAGCAAGAAGGTCCAGGGTTTGCATCCTGGTTTCAGCCAGGGCCTTTCTGTGTAGAGCGTTTGCGTGGGTTTCCTCTGGGTACTCCAGTTTCCCCCCACCATCAAAACATGTATGTTAGGATGTATGTTGGAGAATGACTCTAGTCAGTACTCATGACCAAGGCTACCTAGGATAGGTTAAATGCAGAGAATTAATTTCTCTGGGATTATTAAAAGATAACTTAACATTCCCACCAGCCTCTGCATACTGATATGCTAAACAATGATGGTGATCATGATTAACATTAAGGCTACCAACTGAAGGTCAGCATGTTAACATTTTTATTGTGAGCCATAGCATACTGGCATTGGAATTTAGCTCTGTTGTGTCCAAGCAGCAACCTCTGTAGCTACAAATGAAGCCAACACAGAAGTACCAAAACTGCAGTTCCTCTAACGGCCACTTGGGGCTGGCTCCAGCAGTGAGTCGATCTCCATATGGCTCCATATTAAAATGGCCAACTTTACAGCAGAAATAAACATGTTTAAAGAATTGTACAAAAAAGGCTTTGGTCTTCAGTTAATTTCCGCATTCAACTGGATGGCAGTGAATCTTTATACAACTCACCTGTTTAAATCATATTGAAGGTTAAAATGCACTGAGCTCCCCTTATTCATGTCCTATTAATGCATATTACTAACCTAACACCTTCTCCAGGGTTTTTGTGCTTTCTCATCTCGCAGGTTCTCATGGATCGTGTTTGCGCCTGCTGCCCTGGTCCTGCTTGACACCTACTGCTAATATTATTGTTATTATTATCATCATTATTATGTTGGTTATCATTCTCTTCATCATTATTATTAGTCATATTTCTACTATTATATTTGTTATTCTTGCTGTTGTTGTTGCTGTGCATCTCTTTGTCTTTCTCGCTCCGGCTTTTTTTTTGGATTAGCCGAGAGCCAGCGGAGTCAGGACTGCCAAGATGGTGACGGCCGGAGCCAACCACACTGAGCTTCACAATTGCTCTTCAAAAACCTATGGGTGACATCACGGAAACTACGGCCAGTTTTAATTATATAGTTTATGGTTGTTCCTTAGTAGGGTAGCCACTAGCATGGCTGTTGACTCTTAGTATTGTTTTTTAATTTGTAGATAATGAAACACTCAGACTATTTTCTCTCTTTACTGTTGCTATACATCTTTTACATCATAAATGTAAATAATAATAATAATAATAATAATAATAATATAATCATATTTTCAGGTTTGCTGTGGTGATGTGAGTTTATTAAAGCATACCGGCATCCTGGTGAACTTACATACACAGAGCAGATCTGAGTTGGTAAGCTGACTCAGAGCAAATTAAATTATGTATTTTTATACATAGACCAATACACTAAACAGTATGTAAATGGAGGGATTGATCAGGCAGTCAGCAGACGTTACATGATTAACATCAGACAAAATAATAAGAATAAGACAAAAGGTAGTCATCAGAAGGAATGTGATTACCAATGGAGACAAATGGCAGGAAAGGTAGGTGTGTGGGTTTGGTCAAGGGAGAAGGAGACAGCAAGGATACACATTTAGTATATGAAGATCAAGGGACTGGTTTGGAACAGGGATATTTAATGTTTTGGCAATATTTTTCAAATGGTTAGTATTTTTCTGTGTGGTAGAATTTTGGTCAGATATAAACATGCAACATTCAGTTCCAATGACCGCACAAGTTTCTCTTTGAGAGGCCAGTAAATAATCCAGTGCAGCCTGGTTTTGTAAGGTCATCATTCTTACAGCAGTAATTTCTTGTGACAGCATGGACATGTCTTTTGCAGTAGAGTCTGCGAGATCTTCACCTGCTTGAGAAAGGTCTCTTATTTGATCCAAAGTTGCCATTAGTCATTAGTTCTTTTGGACTCCACACATTTGGATGTTCCCAAGTGAATGTTGCCCTTACCTTCAGCACACCATTTTAAGGTGTTTGGAACCACTGAGAGGGTGAGAGGGTTAGGGGTAGTGCAAGAATAACAGTTCGTGTAAATTTGCTCGCAATGTAATTTTCGAATTTGTGGCGGATTGGGACAAGTACAATGTTAATGGGTGAAGTTTAGCACAAGACAAGTGTCACAGGGAGTGACAGGCCAAGCCATCAATGGGAGTCCTTCTTTTGTGCTGTGTGGGATGGGCTTCTGGGACTCGATTGCTTGCGTTGTTCCTCTGATGACTGTAGGTGTTGTACATCTACTTCTGGGACTCAGTTACCTGCGTAGTTCCTCAAGGGGAGG